CCCCCCCCCCCCCCCCCCCCCCCCCCCTTCTCCATGGGTACAAAGAAAGACACAGATACTTTCGGCAATCCAACCGCACAGGCAAAGTATACACAATGTCCTTTTTTCTCAGACTTTTTTTTTTTTTGTGTGTGTGGGTGGTTGTGCATGCGTATTCACAGAGCATTATGCCATTTGCTTCAGGCGTCCTCATCGTCAGTGTCTTCCATGTAGTCATCGGCATACCAACTGTCCTCCGTTTCCCAGTCCTCTCCCTCCTCCTCCTCCTCCTCCTCTTCCATTTCAATTTACCAGGAGAGTTCCTCCTCCATGCGCAGCTGATGGTTGAGGCTGGCGACAGGGTCAGGGATCCCAGCGGTGTCTAACGCCGCCCGCAGTGCCATTTCTCTTGTGCTGTTCCAGGGAAGAAACATTCGAAAGAACAAAGAAAGGGGGTTGTGATCCTCCCCAATCTGCCGCACTCTACCTTCCTCCTCAAACATCGTATTGTACCGCGAAAGCCGTTCGCTCGGCGAAATTGCCGGTGGTGACAGGGGCCCATACAGAGATTCAAAACGCAGCAGGGTCAGTTGTTCCAGTGGTGTCAGTTCACGCCTCGTCGCACGCCGTACCTCATCGCGCAAGTCTTCTTCTGTGATCTCGTTCGGGTCCAGCAAATGTGCTGGGATTGTAGTCAGAGTCTGACACAATATGTCTTCCTCCGTGAGTGATGCGTGCTTCCATGGAGTGGGAAGATGCGGGCTCTCCGCTGTAACGACAGCAGCAGAAGCACTCAAATTAGCATCAATATCAGTACGGTGAGATTTTAACCAAAGCCCGTCATCCTCCGTTATCACACGTCGTAAAAAGGCGCATGGATCTGCCGCCTTCCAAATCTCGGCATTCCTAGCAACCCACATACTCGCCACATGTAAACTGTTCTCTTCCGTGTTCAACTCGTGCGCCTTCACAATATCCTGCCATGACACTGGAACCGATGACACAACAGACTGGCCTCCAATTTTTTCAACTATTAGTACGGCGGCGGAAGGGAAGCGGCTAATAGCGTGCGCAAGCATCACCGAAGCCGGTGGTGTATTGCGAAAGGCATGTAGTTGCGTGGGTGTCAGTTCACGCAGCACTTTTGAAGATTTGCCCTTATTTGACACGCCAGACACCGCAGACGTTGCCTCTTCTCGTTCCAAAAAGTATTTAGCAAGGGCGGTGCTAAAAAAAAAACCAGGAAGAGTTGACAATGCCAACGCCAATTTGCGGTTGGACCATGCATCGTTCGTATCATCCACCTTGCCTTCAGCATGGCGCTCAAGTTCACGTGCTACGATGAAGGACACCTGCACCAACCATGCCCACTGCTTCGCCCGTAGTGCCAGATAGTCAAGTTGCAGTAACATCCCAAGCGGATCTGTATCATCAAGAGAATAAATCAGCTTCGCAATCTCCCATGCAGTCCTTGTGGCCGCCTTCCTAAGTGCTTGATGCACTCCACAGCGCAAAACCTGAAACAATTGCCTATTAGGAGTGACACCAAAAGGCAGACAACGTCGACGCACCGTCTGTCGAACAGGAAATCGCGATAGTAATACGCCCACATGATACAGTGCAATGTCAATCGCCTCCTGCGCGCGCGGAATATTACCCATCGTCTCGAACAAATTGCTTGCGATAATAAGCGTGGGGATGTGGTACGGTGCAGCAGCCAAACATGTCATGATGCCTTCTACGCCGGCATGCATTGACCCGCAAACCGCCAGTGCCGCCTCCGCACGACGTGTCTCGGCGGAAGAATCATCGAGGTAGTATAAAAGAGGTCCACCATCATTGGTGTTACCGTCATTCACTTTGGCCTCATTATTTTTGGCAGATTTTGTCCCTTTTGCCACCAGGGTCACCCCGAGACCGTCGTACTGTGGCCAGCAGTATCGATTGGGTGTTGCCAGCAGACTGTGGAAAAAACGAGGTACGAATTGTGCATGTTCTGCAAAAAGAAGTGATGTTGGTCTGCTTTCTGCTCGCCGCTGTGGCACCCTGCCGTCGCCAATGTCCTCTACCGCTCTTGCGCCAAAGCGGCGAATACGTTCTTCCCGCGTATCAAGTTTTTTAACATCGCAAACAGAGAGAAGCTCAAGAAGATCCACCTCGTCACTCCTGCCACTTCCCGTGCCAAACCGACCACCTTCAGCAAATGCGTCTTCCTCTCGTTGTCGCAGTGCCTCCTCCAGTAGCAATTCATCCTCACGCTCTTCTTTGCGACGTTTGGCCCTCGCATTTTTATTCCGCTGCTTTTTCTTGCGGCGCTCATCGGTCAACTCCTCTTTTTCCTGCACGCCAACAACTACAGCCCCAACCTCTACCTCCACCGCCCTATTGGCCCTTTTTGCAGCGCCGGGCCTCCCCTCCACCGCAAGTGCAACGCGTTCGCTTCCATTGCCCGTCCTTTCCTGACGATCCTGTTTTTCAACGGGGCTTGCGGTCAACGCCTTTTCCTCCGTTTGGGGGTGCTGCTGCTTGTGAGCGTCATTTTCATCTTGGACCTTCTGGCTTGTCAACTTCTGATGCCTCCCCGACCTCTTTGCGCCTTTGGGCATCCTCATGTTTGAGGGGCACTCCGTCTCAGCATCCTCGTCAGCGCCTGTGGAGGCCCTCACGAGGTTCTGCAGTCGTCGTAGCTGACGGGCAGACATAAAGGCGTGAAGCGTCTTTGAGTTTGTGGTCTTCTCAATTTCCGTTTCCTTTTTTTTTGTGTGTGTGTGTCTGTTGTTGTTGTTGTTTTCTTTTCCTCTTCGTTTGCTTTTTCGCGCGGCGGATCTTAGCCCCTCCAGCCTCGAGAAAACAAAAATACAACAAGAAATAGCAAACAAAAAGAAAAAAACCGGCATAAAAAAAAAAAGATGTCATCGTTCAACTGCTCCCCCCCCCCTCCCCGTCTCCCTCACATGCACACATGTACACACACGCACAGAACAGACTCGTGGCATGTAGAAATGATTAGTTGCATTGGTAGTATTTGTGCTTTGAAAGGGGCACCAAGAGTACACTGCTCTCCGTCCTCGTGGACACACTACATCTACTTCAATACGGTGGATTGCATCTAAACCTCTATAAAATAAGACGTAAAACAGCACAAAAGGAGAAACCACACAAACACACACACAAAAAGTATATATATATACTTTTCAAAGTAAGGACAACCATGAGAAAACAATTTAACCATCAACGCACTGAAGTTGCTCGAAGCATTGGCGGTCTGACCGGTGAAGAACTGCCATCCAAGACACCCCGAGCCGAGCGAGACCTCGACACACCACCGGCTGAAGTCAGTGAAGAGGAAGAAGCACCACGACAAGGCAAACTGCGCTCGTTCCCTACAGTTCTTTTCATTGCATCGGGACCCACCGCAAACACGGAGTGACTTCGGGGGAAGAAACCGATAGGAAGCACATCTCTCCCCACCTGTTTCGGCGATGGTGAATTCTGCGCTGGGGAGCGCCGACAAGGAGTCCCGAGCGTATGACACGGCAGATTTTTCTTGTTTTGTTGTTGCAGTTGTTGCTGCTGCTTTTGAAGACTGCTGCGCAACACTGGCGCCGTTCGCCGAGACGGTGGCTGCGCTGACGGCACGGGCTCTCCGTTTTCCTCAATGCACGGTTGCCGTCGAGCGGCAGAGCTCTGCGCCGCCTCCCACGCAACCTTTTCCGCTGCCCGAAAACTCTCCAGCGTCTCACTCCTCTCAACATGCGGTCCCGGGGGAATGGCCTCCCTCAGCCTCGCAAGTTCCAAGGCGGCCCGCTGCGCCAGAGAGACGACACGCCCGCGAAGTTCAAAGATTGAAATCTCTCCTCGATTCTCAGTCACGCCATCCTCTGATTGAATTATAAGACTCGCATCAAATAGCCGTTGTTGCACCCCGCGCGGGCTGTTACCATCCGCGCAGGTCTCATTTGACCCCTCACTGCCGGCTTGGTGAATGCTCACCAGAGTACGCAGCGTGGTTGCCTCCGCCCGCTTTTGCAACTCCACGTCACTGAGGGCGTCAGCAAGCGCACGCTGCCGTTTAGCCAATTCCTCACGCAGCTCTTCGTTCTGTGCAGTAAGTTTCTTTACGGAGAGCTCGGCCTCCGCACTCTCTCTGGCATGCAGGGCGGCTGTGGATTCTTGCAGTGTACGCAACTCCCCCATTTCCTTCTTTAGTTTATTTAACTCCTCCTCCTGTTGTTGTTGTTGTTGTTGTTGCCGCACCGATGCTGTCGTGCTCTTGTTGCGCTGTTCCACACGGGACGTCTGGAGCTGCAAAAGCATGGATTTCATCTTGTTTGAAAGAACCTCATTTTCGTCACGCAGAGACTTGCACTCTTCCTCCGTTTTCTTCAGTTTCTCCGTGCAGCGAGCCAGCCTTGCCAACACCTTCGCCTTCGCCTCCATCGCCTCCTCTTGCAAACGTTGGCTTTTCTCAAGAAGACGCACGCGCTCTCGTACCTCTTCCGTCTCCTCACGTACCAACTCGTATCGCTCACGCAACTCCACACAGTCCCGCTGGCTTGCATCCAGCTGGATACGCAAGATACCGCGCTCGCGCTGTAGCTCCTCCATGCGATCCGTTGAACTCTTCTGCTGCACCCTCACCTCCTGCTCGGCAGCATGTAGCTCTACAAGCGCAGCCTCTAACCGCTTCACCTCGCTCTTCCGCTGGCAACATTCTTCACTCAGTAACCGCTCCCGTTGCTTGCTCTCTTCTAGGCTCCTTTGGCACGCGGCAAGCGCATCCTGGCAGTGTTTCAACTCTGATTTGCTTTGTTCGGCCTGTCGTGCTTCCATGTGCTGGAGGCGGCGCTGCAACTCCTTCCGGTGCTGAAGGTAGAGACGCCGCAGTGTCTCCAATAGGCGTTCACATAGTCGATGACACCGCTGCAATCGACCACTCTCGTCCACTTCATCACCGTTATTGTTAGCAAATTTTTTAGAAGCTGTTGGATGCATATTGCCTCGCGATCGCTGAGCATTTTGCCTTTGTTGCTGTGTAAGGACCTTATTCCCCCCCAAGCGGAAACGCACTTGCCGCAGATCGTCCCGAAGCTCTTTGCATGTGATAAGTTCAAAAAAGCTGCCATTTGCATCTTCCACACACCCCTCCTCGTCGTCATCCTTCTGACCATAACACAAAGCATCATTCTCTGTCGCAAACAAATCCTCCACAGCCCCAGAATGCGCATCGCACCACTCTGAAGCTGGAAAAAGTGTGTCCCGCAGCCCCCGTGGGGATGCTCGCGAGGAACAGCCATTACGAAACATACCTACAAACGTCTCCAGTGTGGAGTGAACGGAAAAGAAGCGATTGGTAGCCTCGTGAATAAGACGCTGCTGTGTCTTCTTTGCCTCCTCTACCCTAGCCAGCTCCGTTTCAAGAACGTGAACACGATGCATCTTCCGCCGGACCTCATCTGTCTGTTGTTGCAATGCCTCCTCAACAGATCGTAGACGCGACTCAAGTTGGGTCTGTTCGTCGCGTGATGATGTTGTAGCCCGTTTCGCACTTTTCTCGGCTTCCTGTACTTTGAGTTGTAGCTGTCGAATTAGGGCTTCTTTTGCTTCAATCAATTCCTTTAACTCTACAGCTGCCGCCTGGGTTTCACTATTCCTCTGCCGCCACTCCTCAAGCTCTGTCCGACACGCCTCTAACTGTTCCGAGAGCCAAGCTTGTTTATTCTCTTTCGTACGTGTCGTTTCCTGTAATTCATGCCACTCAAATGTGCGGGATCGCAACTGCGCCTCAAACTCAGTGATCTGTCGCTGCATCTCCTCCTGGGCCAGCTTCCACTGCGCCTTTTCAAAGTTAAGCTCCTGCTGCAACTCGGCGGATTTCAGACGCTTTTCGTCCTGTGCGTGGCAAAGTTCCACTTCAGTGCGTGATGCCCTATCCCGAGTCTCTTGTAGCTCATGCTGCAGCTCCGCAATGGTGCCTTGGAGCGCCTCACAATGCAGCGCCAGCTGCTCCATCTTCAGCTTCAAAGCGTCACACTCCTCGGCAGAGGCCTGCTTCTCCCTTAGTAATTTTTCATAGCGTTCATTCTGTGACTCAATCTCATGACCCACTTCCTGCAGCACAGACTCCTCCTCCGCATCACGACGTACCTCGTACGCTTTCAATGCCTCCAAAATCCGTTCCTGCACCTCCTCCTCCGTAAAAAGAGGTTCATTTTTTGTCAGCTGCCTTCCCTTGTTGTGCAATTCATTCTCGCTCAAGCCAACGGCAATGGGCCCTCCTCCTATCTCCTGTTTTTCTTTTTCTCCATCACTCGCCGTGCCGGGACCTGCAGACGTTTCCAGGTCCCACATCTCCTTTGCCACCGCCTTTGCCGTCTTCTTGGCGGAGTCGGAGAGTCTCACTGTCTTTTTCTTCTTTTTGAACAGACGCTTCTTGACAGCACTGTCCGCACCTCCAGCAGCGGTGGATGGTGAAAGAAACAGCAACGTGCTGGGCTCCTCCGTCGTCACCACGTCATTCCCTGCTGGTAGGGACCGCCGCAACTGCTGTTCTTTTTGCAGCTGTTGAGCCGTTACACCAAGAGACAAAGCTGGGGCAGTGGCATACGTGACGGTGAATTTCGCCGGGGCCACCGTGTTGGAGGAAGATGTCTTCCCCCTCAGTATCTCCGGTGACGCCGTCTCCGCAAGAAGCTCAAGGGCTGAGCGCACCACGCGTCTGCCGGCACTTCCGCCGCCCCCAGCATTCGCTCTTGCTGCAGTTGTATGTGTTCTTCGCCCGGGCGTAACGTATTCCGTCATCGGAGCAATGCCGCCCTTTTGCTTCACCTCTCAGAGGAAAAAAACCGCAGGCAAACCTGCCCCGCCGCCCACCTCTTAGAAGCGGATCTAACTCTATTTGCTCGGGCCCGCCAACTGCCCTTTTTTCTTTTTTTTTATGTGAAAGAGCTCGTCCGTATTGCGAGCCTACGACGCGTTACACAAAAAAAGAGACAAAATCCATTTTTTTTTTTTTTTTAAGCGGAAAAAAAGCGAAAAAAAAAAAAAAGAAAGAAAAAAGGAAAATGCGTTGGGGTTCCCTCAAGAGTGGCATAAATGCAAATGGTGATTCGTATCGTGTTTGAAGGCACTTTTTTTTTTTTTTTTTTTTTTTTTTTTGGAGGGGGAAGCTCGTATTGGATGAGCCAAAATACACAGCGGCAGTAATATATCACATCATGTGGCTCATGGCCACACACACACACACACACAAGAAAAAAAAAACAGCAAAGAAGGCTGAGAGGGAAGGGAGAAACTCATGGCACATCTTCACCATAACCCCACGGAGTAGACTCAAAGGCAGGTGGGAGCACAATTGCGTGATGCAACAAAAAAAAAAAAAAAAATGGGGGGGGAAAAGGAAAAAAAACTCTTCGCAATAATGATAAAAAAAAAGGGGGGGGGGAAAAAAGGTCTGCCTGTTTATATATGCCCATTTTTTCTTTGTTTTTTGTTTTTTCTTTGTT